GACGCGAGCGCACCTGGCTTGCCCTTCCCCTTCTCCCCCCCCCCACCCGCCTTCCCCTCCCTCTCCTCGTGGAGGAGGGCGATCCTCGTTGCCCCCCTGGTGTTCCCCCCTAGGCACGCGCAACCTGCGGCTGACGGCCGAGATGGTGCCGCTGGTCGGCAGCACGGGCGCGACGTCTCTGGTGGTGCAGTGCATCCACGGGGGCGACGTCCTGGTCGCCGCCAAGGGACCCGCGGAGGTGGGTCGGATGAGGGCGAGTTGAGACAGCGGTATCCGTCCTTCCAGGGCCCCCCTCCTCGCAACGGCTGGACGCAGCTCGGAACCCTGAGGCGTTTGGACCCAAGGAGGGTCTGGGGACCGATTTTGAGCTGCCGTTGTCTCAACTGGCGTTCCTCCGGGAGGGGGAAAGATGAAGCAGGCAGGCAGGGCCGACGCCTACGATCCGATTCGATGCGATTCGATTCGTGGGCTCGGCCCGCGATGCCGATTCGATGCGATTCGGCTCTATTCACCGGCATTGGCCGGGGCCAGCCGGAGCCAGGCGCGGCGATCCGATTTTGGTCCGACGAGGGCGATTCGATGGCGATCCCATCCGTTTCCGATCTGATGCGATTTCGCGATTCGGTCCAGCTCAGGCCCGGCCGAGGAGGAGGGGAGAACCCCTACTGTCCGGGGCTTTTTGTTCAGCTTATCGCGCCGCTGGTTCTGGCCCACCACGCTTCGGCGCCACACGCCAGCCACGCCCAGCCCCCAAACATCAGCGTCCCGGGCTTTTCCCCGCCTCTCGCCCTGCGGAGCGGAGCGAGCCGCCACCCGCTCGGATGGCATAGCGAGTCGCTGAGGCCGTCGCCGCGACACGCGAAGCAGCGGTTCCCGACTGTAGCCAGGGCCGAGACGGGGGGAGGACCCCGAAGGCTTCTGCAGGTTGGCGGCGGAGAAGAGGGCAGCAAGACGATAAGTACCCGAGCCACGCATCTGCGAGCAAGAGTGATGGGCCTGCCAACGAGCGCATCACCGTGAGTGAGTGCGGGTCGTCGGCAAGTTGTGCGTGCGGGGACCAGCAGTGGACTTGTCCAGTGCACAGCCCGCCGCATGTTTCCCACACCAGTGGGGGTGACCTGTCTCGCCACAGGCACCGATCTGGCTGAAGCAGCTTTGTTGGTTCGCAGGGCGTGTGGGCGGCGGGTCGCGCTGGCGGAGGCTGACAGTGGTGCTCTCCAGGGCCATTCTGAAGCAGCCCGCCGCGGGATCCGACTTTTTGCTCAAACCAATGTGTCGTGGGTAGGTCGAATCGCAGGTGGGTCACGGGTGGGTTGGGCCGCGGGTGGCTCGCGCAGCGGGTCGCGGCGCGGGCGGGTCGCAGGGCGTGTCGCGGCGTTGGCGGGTCGTGGGGCGGGTCGCGGGGCTGACGGGTCGCAGGGCGGGTCGCCGGGCACCGCGGGGCCCCACTGCAGCCACGCACGAGAGGAATGCAAGAAGATCGTTCGGTCCCCTCAGTCTGATAATTGGAAGGACGGAGAGCAGGAGAAGGAGGAGGAGGAGAAGGAGGAGGAGGAGGAGGAGGAGGAGGGGGAGGGGGAGGAGGACGGGGAGGAGGAGTAGAGGGGCGGATGTGCCTTGTCGCAGGTGCCCAGGTGGAACGTCGCCCTCCACCTGGGCACTAAGAAGTCACCTCCGCAGAGGCACACAGCCCGTACAGGTGGCTTCGTGTTCTGCCTGCTCAGGACACTTGGCCGATACTCCTGGCTCCGGTGGGCACTTGTCCCAAAGATGGACAAGTGCCGGGCCGCGGATTCAGAGGAGGAGTAGGAGAAGGAGGAGGAGGAGGAGCGCACCAAGCCGCCGTGGCTCAGATATTTTGCTTGTCACCGTCGTGGCTTCATCGCTGCCCAGACGCTTGAGATCCAGCGAGAATCGTGGCAGTCTTCTTCCTTTGAATCAACAACGACGAGTGGCAAAACCAAACAGTGAAGCGCAGCGCTGCATTAATTCCACCAAGCGTCTCGACCACGTCCGAACATTGGCCCAGGCTGTTGCATCGCGGCTGTCAGCTTGTGCAGTCAAAGGCTGGTGTTGGAAGTGGGCTTTGCCCCTGCTCGGTGAGGCGTGGAGTGTGATATTACGGCCCAGCGTGATCATCAGCAGTCAAGACGCTGAAAGAAGGACCACTTTGGGTTCTGCATGCTGCTCTGATTTTCGGCCCGTTCTTCAGATCATGTCGGGGAGCCTACTCGTGGCCGAGGCTCGCCGCGGCCAGAAAAAAAAAACTTTTCGCTCCTTATTGAGCGCTTTTGGTGGTAGCACGTTGACTGTACGCTACGGTGGGGGCGCTTGTTGAGGAAGATCTCGCAGCAGGCTTCAGACCCCTTCGGATTCCTCACCTGATGAGGCCGGCGGATATCCAAAGGCTTCCAGACCCTGGACTCCTCATGTAAGGGTTCCTGACAGTCGGGCCGCTGAAGAAGGAACCTTTTTCATCGGGGATGGGGCTCGGCCTCCCTTAATTGTTTACAGCTTGCCGCATGTTTTCCTTAGGCTTCCTATGACGAGTCGAAGCTGAACCCATGGAATAAAGGCGCCTCGTTCCTGATTTAGGTTTCCTTATGGCAGCGCTTCGACTGTATCCAATGTCCGTCGGCTGCCGCCCTGGGCGCTGCCTCCCCCGCCGCCTGATCCGCGGCCCCCGCGCGCGCTAGGCAATTTAGTCGCGGCCGTAGCCCGCCCGCGACCTCCCGCCGCTGGCGCTTCCGCCTGCGGCTGTTAAAAAAATGGGGAAAAAAGTATCCAGTGTTCTCACCGTGCAGTGCCGGGAGCAGCGCCCACGACGTGGCCGCCTGTGGCAGGACCCGCCGGGGGCCCCCTGGGCCGCCTGCCAGCCTCCAGCCTCCGCAGGGTCTCCAAGAGGCGCCCAGCACTCCGGTCTGCCCAAGCCTCCTCCTCTCTCCTCCTCCTCCTCCTCCTCCTCCTCCTCCTCCTCCTCCTCCTCCTCCTCCTCCTCCTCCTCCTCCTCCTCCTCCTCCTCCCCTCTCCTCCCCTCCTCCTCCTCCTCCTCCTCCTCCTCCTCTCTCCTCCTCCTCCTCCTCCTCCTCCTCCTCCGCAGGGTCTCCAAGAGGCGTCCAGCACTCCGGCCTGCCCAAGATGCACCCAGGCAGCCCCAAGCTCGGCCCCCCACTGCGTTTCTGCGTTCCTCGCTCCGGGCAGCGTCTCACGTGCGCCCGGAGCGCGGAGCGCGCCGCAGCAGCCCACGAGGGCCGTGCGGGCACTCAGACGACGGCCCCGGGAACCTGACCCCGAGGGAGAGAGAGGACCAGGGACCAGTTAATACCTCGGAGGAGGGAAGAGGGGCCGGGTTTAAAAAGAGGAGGCCCGAAAGGGCCCCTGGGCGGGCGCTGCGCGCACCCGCGCCCGCGGGCGTCAGGCAGCACCCGCGGCACGGCACTCGGCCTGGCCACTCGGCCCCCCACGGTCCTCCTCCTCCTCGCCTCGTGGGCGACCAGCATAATTCGTACCCGCGGTCTCGCGGGCCAAGCCCCTGGGCCGCGGCCCTTTGGAAACGGTGCGTTTTTTGGCGGACGCCCCGCGCAGAACCGCGAGGGCGCGGATACGGATACATGTTTTCGCAGCTCGTGATTTCCCTCGTTCCTTCTCCGTGAGCTTGCGATGTTCGTTGGCAGTGACGTCTCGGGACGTTGGCCACGGCGATTTCGAGAGTAATGCATGGATGTCCATTGCTGGTTGAGTCTTTGCGGTTCGTCGACAAAAATCTCAGCACCCACGGTGGCCCCGTAGGCACCAAGGCAGCACACGTCGGGCTCTCCGACGAGCACAGGACGTGGCATCCCGAAGGGTTTCAGGCATTTCTTGCGTTTTGCAGTTCTCGGCTTTAAAAAGCCGCAAGAGGCCTTCAAGAGAGCCCAGGAGCCGCCTACCAGAGCCCCAATATAGTCCAAGATGGCCCCGACTCAGCAGCCAGCACCAGAAATCGGCTGCAGAACTCATTACTAGCAAGGAGCGGTACTGGCAGGCAGCATCAAACTGCTGCGCGAGCAAGCAAGCGGCAGCAGCGGCACACGTTCCCATCGCCAGCACCAGGCAGCAGCAAGCAGCTAACAGCACGAGGCCAACAATAGCAACAACAGCACCAACAACAGCAGCAACAACAACACCAACAACACCAACAACAGCGGCAGCGGCAACAACAGCGACCAACACTAAGCAGCAGAAAGCAGCAGCACTAAGGCGCCTCCTCCAGCAGCAAGCAGCAGCAATTAACAGCGATCACAACCCATAGTCAGCAAGTGGCAGCGAGTAGATAAGCAAGCAATCGCGTAAGCTATCAGGCTTGGCAAGCAAGCTTACATACACGGAAGCAGGCAAGCTATGTGGCCAGCAGGCTGTCAGCCGCGCAAGCAGGACGGCACGTACATAGTAATTCAGACGCAGCCAACATCAACAGCGTGAATCAGGAAACAACGTCGGTAAGTAGCAGGAAGCTGTGGCAGCATGCAGGGATAACACCAGCACGACGCAGCTACCACCCCGTAGCAATCAGGAACACGTATATCATCACTCAGTCAGTATCGGAAACCATCCGGAACCAGCAGCGATTTCAGCAAACAACAGGAGACAACAAGCGGTAGCAAGCGGCAGCGAGAGGACGAGCGAGTGATGCAGTCAGAAAATCATTAATCCAGATAGCTGTCCAGCTGGCAGGCCTGCAAGGAGGACCGTTGGGGAGAAGTTGTCTGGCCAACAAGCTAGCAGCCTCACGCGGCTCCCCAGGGCTCCAGGCTTGTCAAGAGAGCCTTCAGGAGGCGCTCAAGACGGGCCAAGACGGCCCAGGACTTCCCTGGATTCTTCAAGATGCGCCAAGGTGGCCCGAGGAGGCTGCAGGATGGCTCGATTCAGGGCAGAGCAGGAATGAGGAGAAAGGGGAGGAAGAGAAACAAGGGGGGGGAGCACGGGGAGGAGGGAGCGTGCAGGGGAGACCCAACCCCCAGGAGGCGCCCTCAACCAAACGACGCGCTCCGCCCAGATCGGCAGCTCACAGTGGGAGTGGGGCGGGGACCCGAAGTGGCCCCAGACGAAGGCGTTCAAGGCGTGGTTGCAGGTCCGAGGCGACCTCGAGTGTGACATAGAGGCGGGCACCGCTCTGTCTCCCGCTGATGTGGCGCGCGCGCATTTTGATGCGGCGCGCGTGCGTGATATTGCGCAGTTGATCGCCCCCCCGTTGTTCCAGTGCTGGCAGTTCCGTCTCCCTCTTTTTCTTCTTCCTTTTCCACCTCGCCCTTTCCATCCCTCCTCCCCTTTCTCCTCGCCCTCCCCGTGCCCCAGGGACCACGGGAGACCTCCAGAAGGAGACGAGAGCAGGGTGATGATGATGATGATGATGATGATGATGATGATGATGATGATGATGATGATGATGAATATGATGATGATGATGATGATGATGATGATGATGATGATGATGATGATGATGATGCTGATGATGATGATGATGATGATGATGAGGAGAGGATGATGATGACGACGATGACGATGGCGATGGCGATGGCGATGACGATAGCGATGACGACTATGATGATGATGCTGCCGATGACGATGGTGATGCTGCTGGTGATGCTGATGATGCTGATGATGATGACGATGCATGAATGATGACGATGTCGAGGACGATGCTCATGCTGCTGATGATGATCATGAGGATGAGAATTAGGGTTAGGACTAAGACGAGGACGATTATGACTGACGATGGTGATGATGATGACGATCATGATGATGCCAATGACGCTGAGAATGAAGATGACGATGACGACGACCGCGATGATGATGACGATGCTGATTATGATGATGATGATGATGATGATGATGACGATGACGATGGCGATGGCGATGGCGACGACGACGACGACTGTGATGATGATAATGATGATGACGATGGTGATGATGATGATGCTGATGATGATACTGCTGATGTTGATGATGATGCCGGCGATCATGCTGACGATGGCGATGACGACGATGACCATGACGAAGATGACGATGGCGATGATGATGATGATGATGATGATGATGATGATGATGATGATGATGATGATGATGATGATGATGATGATGATGATGATGATGCTGGTGCTGCTGCTGCTGCTGATGATGATCACGCTGATGACCATGATGATGATCAGGATGATGACGCTGACAGGGATGCCGCTGATGATGATGAGGCGGAGGAGGCGAAGGAGGAGGAGAAGGTGGAGAATGAGGATGGTGGCGACGACGACCATGACGATGATGAGGATGGTGATGATGGTGATGCTAATGATAACAACGACGATGCTGCTAGGGATGCTGATGCTGCTGATGATGAGGAGGAGAAGGTGGAGGAGGAGGATGATGGTGTTGATGTCGATGATGACGACGTCGACGACGAAACGATGCGGATCATATTGATGATGATGATCGTGATGATGATGACGATGGTGATGCTGATGACGATGATCCTGCTTATGATGATGACGATGAGGCTTGCGATGCTGGCGGTGATGATATTGATGATGCTGATGCTGATGCTGATTACTCTGATGATGATGGTGGTGATGCTGATGGTGAAGCTGATGCTGATGATGGATGGTGACGATGCTGCTTTCGATAGTGATGAAGACAACCACGATACTGACGGGGTTGATTCTGATGCTGGCTGTGGTGATGATGATGATGCTGTTGTTGATGATGATGATGATGATGTTGATACTGATGATGAACACGATGCGAATGTCGATGCTGATGATGACGATGCGGACGATAGTGCTGCTGATGATGACGATGCTGATGATGATGATGATGCTGCTAATGCTGATGATGCTGATGGTGATGATGATCCTGATGCTGCTGGTGATGATGCTGCCGCTGGTGCTGCTGATGCTGCTGATGCTGATGACGCTGATGCTGGTGATGGCGACGACGATGCTGATGAACCTATTGATGATGCTGATGAGGATTATGATGATGCTGTTGATGACGATGATGGTGATGTCAATAATGAAGATGATCATGATGTTGGTGATGAGAATGATAATGCTGCTGATGTTTGTGATAGTAATGGTGGTTCTGGTGCTGCTGATGATGTTGATGATGCTGCTGCTGATGATGATGATGATGATGATGCTGATCCCGATGATGATGCTGCTGATGATGATGCAACTGCTGCTGCTGATGATGATGATGATGATGGTGGCGACGACGATGATGAGAATGCTGATGATGCTGATGAGGCTGATGGTGGTGATAATAATGCTGATGCTGCTGCTGATGATGCTGACACTGATGATGCTGGTGATGCTGACGGTGATGCTGATGATGCTGCTGATGATGCTGCTGCTGATGATGCTGCTGATGATGAGGCTGATGGTGGTGACGAGGAGGAGGCGACGGGGCGGAGGAGGAGGAGGAGGAGGAAGAGACGGTTGAAGAAGAGGAGGGGACGGAGGAGAAGGAGGAGGAAGATGCGGGTTGATGATGATGAGGAGGAGGAGTATGTTGATGATGATGATGATGATGATGATGATGATGATGATGAGTATGATGATGATGATGGTGATGATGGTGATGATGGTGATGATGACGATGGTGGTGATGATGATGAGGAGGAGGATGAGGAAGAGGAGGAGGGACACGAAGGGGATCATTCGCAGCAGGGCGAGGACGACGAGGGCGAGGAGAAGAGGAGGATGATGAGGGGGATGATGATGATGATGCTGATGATGATGATGATGATGATGATGATGATGATGATGCTGATGATGATGATGATGCTGATGATGACGATCATGATGATGAGGAGGAGGAGGAAGAGGAGGAGGAGCGGAGGAGGATGAGGAGGAGGAAGAGTTGGAGGAGGAGGATGCGGAGGAGGACGAGAAGGCGGGAATCGGATGAGAATGATGATGCTGATGATGATGTTGATGATGATGATGATGATGACGAGGAGGAGGGACGACGATGATAATGATGATGATGAGGATGATGATGATGATGATGATGCTGATGCTGATGCTGATGATGGTGGTGATGATGATGATGACGACGATGATGATGATGATGATGATGATGATGATGATGATGATGTTGAATCTGATTATTCTGACGACGATGATGATGATGATGACGATGATGATGATGATGACGATGATGATGATGATGGTGATCATGATTATGATGATGATGATGATGATGATGATGCTGATGCTGATTCTGATGATGATGATGATGATGCTGATGCTGATGCTGATGATGATGATGATGATGATGACGATGCTGATGCTGATGATGACGATGATGATGCTGCTGCTGCTGCTGATGATGATGACGATGATGATGATGGTGATGATGTGATGATGATGATGATGATGCTGCTGCTGCTGCTGATGATGATGATGATGATGATGATGATGATGATGATGATGATGATGATGATGATGATGATGATGATGATGAGATGATGATGATGATGATGATGATGATGATGATGATGATGATGATGATGATGATGATGATGGGGCGGAAGGGGGAGGAGGAGGAGGAGGAGGAGGAGGAGGAGGAGGAGGAGGAGGAGGAGGAGGAGGAGGAGGAGGAGGAGGAGGGGGAGCTGGAGGAGGAGGAGGAGGAGGAGGAGGAGGAGGAGGAGGAGGAGGAGGAGGTAGGAGGAGGAGGAGGAGGAGGAGGAGGAGAGGAGGAGGAGGAGGAGGAGGAGGAGGAGGAGGGAGGAGGAGGAGGAGGAGGAGGAGGAGGAGGAGGAGGAGGAGGAGGAGGAGGAGGAGGAGGAGGAGGAGGAGGAGGGAGAGAGGAGGAGGGGGGGGGGAGGAGGGGAATCAGGAGGAGGAGGAGGAGGAGGAGGAGGAGGAGGAGGAGGAGGAGGAGGAGGAGGAGGAGGAGGAGGAGGAGGAGGAGGAGGAGGAGGAGGAGGAGGAGGAGGGGGGGGGGGGAGGAGGGAATCAGGAGGTGGGGGAGGGGGAGGGGGAGGAGGAGGAGGAGGAGGAGGAGGAGGAGGAGGATTCTGATGATGGTGATAACGATGATCATGATGAGGAGAAGGAGGAGAAGGCGGAGGAGGCGGAGCAGGATGAGCTATGATGCTATGGCGTGAACGCGGCTTCCGGGTTCTATCTTGGCCGCTTGCTGCCACATACCGAGGGAGTTTCCCGAGTTTGTCGGGATGCGTTGCGCATGTTTTCAGTGCGCAAGCGCAGGGCGGATTGGGTGGCGCTCGCGGTGTGCTTTGCTCACAGCCACTTCCGCCACCAGCCGCTCATCCGCTGACATCCACTCCCGGCTTTGGCGGGAGCCCGTCACTACCAATCAGCGCCTCAAGCGCCAGGGCAGGATTGGGTGGCGCTCGTGGTTTGTTTCGCCCACTTCCACTTCCGCCACCAGCCTGCCCAGACCGCGGACCTTGCAGGCCACCGTGGGGGGACTCAGAGAAACGGACAAGAGGAGGAGTGAGAGGGGGCAAGATAGAAAGGCAGCCAGTCCCACGGCGCCGCGGCAACGGCAGTCACCTGGGAATTCGACACAGGAGAAAACTTCGACCAAAGACGCGCAGCACAGGTCAGCCCGAGCTCCCCGAACAGGCGAAAAATGAGTCCTCCTGCACACTGCCGAGAGGAGGGGGGACGAGCGGCCTCGCCTTGGCGAGAGCCGCTCTGGGGCGGAGGCTTCGCGAGTTTTTTTTTGGAGCGCCCACTATGGCCCCCGCCCCTCACGGTTCGACCTTCGACTCGGCCGCCGTGCAAACCAATTTCATCTTGCTGGGAGCCAAAGACATGGCCTTGGACAGCCTCAGGACCTGGCTCCACGAGGTCCGCGGGGGCACCTCACAGGGGCACAGTGCTTCGGCACCTCCCAGGGGTACACATTTCAGATCGTGTGTGTGTGTGTGTGTGTGTGTGTGTTTTCGTGTTCTGACTTGTGAGAGTGGCCAACGCGTCGCTCGTCGCAGTCTATGAGCCCAGCACAGCTTAGCGTGCTATTTTTCGGGCTGGTACCGCCCCAATTGAACTGAACTGGGCAGTACCTCGGCAACCTTGAACAATCGAAGTGGTGGGGCCGTCTCCCAGCGGTACAGCGATTCCCCCGCCCAGCGTCGCAGCTGCACAGACATAAGCAGAGGCCGCAGATCCCAGAGGTCGTGCCTGGAAAGAATCGCGAGGGAAAGTCATATCCGACTTCGGGGGGAGCCCCCGTGCAAGTCGGGCCAGCGCCTCAAGACTTGTCTTGATCGGAGGCTGTCAGTTCGGAGGCGGGAGGAGGGAGGAGTTGGAGAAATAGGGAGAGTAAGATGGGGAGCAGGGGCAGGAGGGAGAGGAGGAGGAGGAGGAGGAGGAGGAGGAGGAGGTGGAGAAGGAGGAGGATGATAAGGAGGAGAAGGATGATGATGATGCTGCTGATGATGATGATGATGATGATGATGATGATGATGAGGAGGAGGAGGAGGAGGAGGAGGAGGAGGAGGAGGAGGAGGAGGATGAGGAGGAGGAGGAGGAGGAGAAGGAGGGGGAGGGGGGGGAGGAGGAAGAGGAGGAGGAGGAGGAGGAGGAGGAGGAGGAGGAGGTGGAGGAGGAGGATTGGACTGTACACGTCGGAAGAGGCAAGCAGTCAACAAAAGCCCGCCGAGGCTGCGCACCAAACGCTTATTTGGTCCTCTGCCAGCGACCAACGCCATGTTGCCTCAAATACTGGGGACCGAAGCTGACGGCTGAGCGACCGAGGGGCCCCAAGAGTGCACGTGGCCGAGCGCCCCGGGGTGCGACAGGGGCTCGGCCGCCAGGAGGGACACCTGGAGCTGCATCACTGCCGCCGGAGGGGCGGTGCTGGCGGGAATCCGCGACAGTGTGGCTCGGGCGTTGCGTAAGGGGGGGACGTTATTTTGGGCGGGGGGTGGGGCATTGAAACACGGTGTACCTCTCGTGCACCGTAGGGGCCCTCAAGCGGCCCTCTGGGGCCAGAAAAGGGGCACGAAGAGTGCACGTCTCTTCGCCCCTCACTCGTTGTCCCACCATTACGCGGCGCCCAGGGGGCCCGAGCTCCGAGCCGGCACGGAGAGACAGGGGGTCCTGGAGGCGAGGGGCCATGGACGTTTTCCACCGTTTCTCGGCCTCCCGGGCTCCTCCCTGGGCCCCCTTCCCGCCCCCGTCGCCCTCCGCCCCTGAGTTTTCCTTCACCTCGTGCCCCCCTTCCTGGGGGCCTTTGAATCCTCCGAGTCGATTCGATTCGAGTTAGATCGGTTCCGGTTCCGATGCGATTCGACCTCGGATGCAGATGTGGATGCTGGCTTCTCAATGGAGGGAGGCATTACTAGCCTGCCGATTTCTGCCGATTCAGCTCTCCCCACCTGGCTGCCGAGTTTCGCCGATCCGACTTATGTCGGTCGCCGCTCCGACCTGTCGATTCGATTCTGGGCTCTCCTGCCCCTTGTGCCCCCCTGCCCCCTCTTCCTCCCCCAGTCCCTTGGGGCGGGGGCGCCTTCGTTGACAGCGTCTGCCCAGCCGTCGCCGCCCTGCTCCGTGAAGGCCTCCCGTGGAGGGCCCTCTATAGGGCTCCCGTGGAGGGAATGCCTCGAGACATCGTGAGGAGACCGGGGCCAGGCTCTGCTCCAGCCTCGGATCGTCTTGCTTCTCCCGCTCGAGGACCCCGGGTACTCGGGATGAGGATCGGTCCCAGGGAAGGTCCGGGACCCGTGTCCACCAGAACCGGCGGTCGAAGTGCGCGATCGAGCTTGGGAGCAGCGTGAGCTGTCTGCCGCGGTTTCTCACCAGAGCCTTCCAGCATCTTTCGGGCCCCTTCTGCGTGGCTCCTGCTGCCCTTTGATTCCTCTCTTCGTTACTCAGTTGCTTTGCTACAATTCGGGGCTGATCCGTATCGCCCAACTCTGTGCTCCAGGCATCCTCGCGCAGCTCTCACGACTCTTGAGGGGATCGGCACCGATTGTTAACCTGCGTTGCCGTTGGTCCGTATCATCATCGGAAGAAGCATGTTTACAGGGGGTCCTGGAACCTTCCAGCATCTTTCCAGCCCCTTTGTCGTGTGTTGCTGGAAGTACCCCTGGCCCAAGGTGCCCCCAGGATTGTCGGTGTGGCCCAGACGGCCTCCAGGGCACCCCTCACGAGGCCCAGAAGGCCCCAGGGCTCCAAAATGGAGCGAAAGGCTGGGGAGAACCTCGGGCCAGGGGCACTTCTAGCAACACCCGACTTTGACGTGGGCGCCAGCAGTTGCAAAGCACCCTGGCAGGGTGGCCTTGTGAGACTGGGGTGTATAGCCGCCCACGCAGCAGCACCCCCATTTCTTCTCGGGAGGGTAACAAATAGACGCAACAACACACATCAACGCTGATTTCGTAATGAGAATGTGGGGAGATATGTGAAATTGAGGGGAAGAGGAACATCCAGGAAATGTGCACAAGTATGGGAGATCCTGAAACTCGGGGAAGAGGAACATCCAGGAAATGTGGTGCAAATATGGGGGAGCCTGGAACTCGTGCCGATCCACTGGTGTCCCCCCAGGCCCTTTGAATCTCCCTCGCGCCGGCCCGAGGTGCTTCTGACGAACGGCGAGTCCTCCTCGCTCGGCGCGGACATCCAGTACTCCTGGCAAGGCATCGAGCCGTGCCCCGAGCACGTGGCGGGCAGCAGCTGCGAGGCGTGCCCGACGAACGTGTGCAAGGACGGCGAGGTCGCACGGTGCGACGGCGGTCGCGGGCGGCGCGCGCAAGGGCGGTTGGCGCGGGGTGTGTGGGGGGCGGCCTTCGAATAGGGGGGGGCGGCCTTTGAAGGTGGTCCTTCTGAGATCGGCAGGGTGGCCCTTCGCCGTATTGACCTTGGCTGCGGGTCTATAAACGGTCCCCCCAGCACTGGCCTGAAGCGGCTTGCCCGCTTGGACTCGGCCCACAGCGGCTTCCAAAAGGCGCGCACCAAGGTCACTCTTGCTTAGGGTTACCCTTACGTGTGGCCGACTGGAGCAGGAGGGCCCAGGGGCTTGTGGGAGGGTCCCTCTTTTTGGAGATGCCCTTTTCCAGAAGGCTCTCCCGCCCTTCTGTGCGTGGTGGCCGCCTCCGCCGCGATCCCCCCCCTGCGTGGAAACCTTGTATGCCTTCCGTGGGAACCTTGTATGTCCTCGCAATTCAGTCATTTCCGCGTGTGCCAGCGTCTGGCCATCGACGATGGAGTGCCGACATCGCGCCGATTTCACGTCGATCCGCATCGGCCAGCGTCGGTTCGCAACAGCCAGCACCATGGCATGGGAGGCTCCCGTGAGTTGCCCCCGAACCCCCTTTGCGCGCGCCGCCGAGGTCGGTCCTGGGTGTGCGCCCCCTCCGCCACCAGTGATGGGCGTGTTTTCCACCACCACCACCACCATAAGTTGGACGGGGGAAGGAGGAGGAGGAGGAGGACGAAAAAGAGGAGGAGGAGGAGGACGAAGAAGAGGAGGAGGAGGAGGAGGGGGAGGAGGAGGGGGAGGAGGAGGAGGAGGAGGAGGAGAAGAAGGAGAATGAGGAGGAGGATCCCCTCACCCTCCAAGTTATGGTGGTGGTGGTGGAAAACAGGCCCATCAAACAGCACCAGCACCAGCACCTCGAATCCTTCCACGACGGCAGGGCGGCCGCCGGCAGACGTCCGGCTGCGCATAGGCAGCATCTCCCTCGAGGCGCTGACCGGGAAGCAGCAGGACGCTGTGGAGCGGGCGGTGGTGCACGACCTCGCCAGGTCCCTGTCAGTGCCGGTCGACAGCATCAAGGATTTGGGGCCTGCACTCTGGCCACCGGTCCCCTCCCCAACTCCTCGAGGGGAACAGGTAGTGGCACGGAGGTCCGCGCGGATTTTTTTTTGGATTTGCGCTGGATTTTTTTTTTAGCGCGTAGAGTGTTGTAGGGGCGGCGCCGGAGGCGCCGCCCGGGGGGGCCCAGCGCTGATTTGAGGATTTCACGTAGATTTTGAGTTTTCATGTTTATGCTATTGTTTGTTTTTTGTATAATCTCAGGAGCGGAATATGGACGTCTACGTGCATGAATCCTTAGTTTCCTAGAGATATTGCACCTGGGAGCATGCTTGGCATGGGGAATGCATCGTGTACCAGCTTCGAAGTTCTCGCCGCTTGGCTTGGTCTTTAGTACGGTTTGGGCTGAAAAAGCCGCAGATGCCACGGATGCATTCGGTTGCGTGTCCCTCGAACCACCCTGACGATCGTTCGAAAACCACGAATGAGGGATGGTCGCTGCCTTTTTCCCAACCACACCCCTCGCAGGTTTCGTGGCTCCATGGGAGGCTCCACCGACGGCCCCAGTGGCTGCGTTCGCATGCTCCCACCGCACCCATGTGACAAACCCCTCACACCGTTCGCTGGCACCACAGGGGGCGCCACCGAAGGCCCAAATACCAGCGTTCGCATGCGCCCACCGCGCCCATTTTGACACACCACTTATACGTTTCGTGGCCCCAGGGGGGGACTCCACCGAAGGCCCAAATACCAGCGTTCGCATGCGCCCATCTCGCTCATTTTTGGGACATCCTCACACGTTTGGTCGCCCCACAGGGAGCTCCACCGACGGCCCCAGTGGCTTCGTTCGCATGCGCCCACCGCGCCCATTTTGGCAAACCCATCACACGTTTCGTGGCCCCACAGGAAGCTCCACCGACGGCCCCGGTGGCTGCGTTCGCATGCGCCCACCGCACCCATTTTGCCACTCCTCCGAATGCGATGCGTACAACGACGGTTCTCACAGCTGCATTTGGTTGGGCCCTTCGCTTGGTCAACTTTGCGTTACTTGTTGCAGATGTGTGAGTTGTTCCTCACTGAGTGCGCACCTGTGCCCGTGACTGTACTCAGCGCGAGTCCGAGATTCAAGAAGCGCGCTATCACAACATGTCTGTGTGATTCAGGGCCATCGTAGTTCGTTCCCTGCCCAGCAACTTGGAATCCTCCGTTCAAGCGCCCATCTCTTGTTTATGCGCTAGCCAAGCCTATTTGCTCGCCAAGGCCTTTTTTTTCATGATCGCTTTGGTAGCTGCTCGGTTCAACTCATTACCTTCGCTCTTTTACGCCATCGCTTTGTCCTCGGCTTTTATTTCGCGCTCCCTTCTCCTGAGTGGAACGTTCGGACGACGCGCGGGGGGCCAGGCGCGTGGAAGGGACTGCTGGCGACGAGAAGTCACAACTTGAATTCAGGTTTGCCAGCTTGCCCGTGCGTGTCCTGACCAGGGGGGAGGGAGAAGGAGGCGGCGGAGGATAGGATTGAAATCCGTCAGTGGAGCAGAAGGAGGGGGAGGAGGACGAAGAGGCAATAGCGGAAAGCGCAGACGAGAAGGAAAGCCGACGAGAATGCAGGGAAGGGGTCAGGCCAACGAGGAGGACCAGGAGAAAGATAAAGAGGACGATGTAGGAGGGGGGAAGCGGACATGGGAAGGGTGGACGGGGGGGGGTGATGTTGAAAAGCTGGGGCGGATGAAGGGTGCATGGGAGGGGAGGTCAGATCCCGGAGGCAATGCGGGCGCTGGGCGGAGCGGGTAGGTTTGGCGGTGCTTGCCCAGATCAGGAGTGAATGGTGGAGGGGGGGCAGGAGGAGGGCTGGGTACGGCGGGGTTTCGCCAGCTGGGCGCCTGAGGGCGCCTCATGGGCGCCCAGTGCGCTGGATGGGCCGCTGGGTTTTCGCCTGGTGGGCGCGGATGGGCGCCTCTGTTGCGTCTCGTGTGCTGGTGGGTGCGGCGGGGATTTTGATTTCTGACACGCCTGTTTTTATTCATGTGCGTACCTGGGCCTGCCTTGAGTGTATCCTTAATAGGGTATGACAGACTGTCGTCCATGTGCAGGAAGGCCCACAAAGCGAACGCGACAGCATCGATGTGGCTGTTGGGGGGGCACACGTGGTGTGTGGGAGCGAAGAAGGAGAGTGGTCAAACTATTTGCATTCTTATTCACAAAAACGTGGTCCCATTTTGCGACAGATCTTACGTGGTTGGAGACAACAGAGTAGCATATGCCGATGTTGCAAGAAAGAAGTGCACATGGAGAGCGGTTTCGGCACATTTGCCGCACGCAGGCCGCTCAGACATAGAGTACGACTGCACATTGGAAGTTATACGGCACGCCATCCCCAGCAGCCGGAAGCGAAGGCAGTGCGTCATTGGAGTGGACGCTAATGCTGAAGTGGGGTCAGCAGCATGACCAAAACGACCCCTTTTGCATCGGCAAGTTCGGAATGGGCGCGAGGACCGACAGAGGGAATCAACTTCTGGCCTGGGCAGCCCAACATAAGCTTACCATCACAAACACGATGTTTCGAAAGATGCCGGAAAACAAATGGACACATATATTACGCAGTACAGGAAACACCCGACACATAGATTATGTGTTAATATTAATGGACCAGAATTTCAGAACAGAGTTGCACAATGCAGACGTGATTGCCGATTTGACGCAAAAGACGGGTCACATGGCAGCTTTGGCAACATATGGCAGCACGCGCAGAAAACGGAAACGATGGAAGCCCCCGAAGGTGGGACGAGGATGGGACATGACAGCGTACAGGGAAGAAAACCATGTGGCACAAACACCAGCCTTGCGCGATGCATCCAAGGACGTCGCCTCAGTGACAAAGGCGGTTTGGAAGGCCGCTTAAGAATGCGGCGAAGTACGGAAAGGGGGCTAGGAAGAACAGGGGGACGCCCGAATTCATCAAACAGCTACGGACAGAAAGGGACGAATGCACCAACAAAGAAGAAAATAAACAGAAATCGCTTCGCTTGAACAGTGCGCTCTGCGACCACGTGCGGGAGAGGCACAACGAGCAGTTTGACGAGTTTAGCATCAAAGGAACAACAAAGAAATCACCTGGGCTCTAAAAGCGGCCGAGAACAGGAAACCGCATAGCCGATATCCGAGATGCAAAAGGAAGACGACAATCTGGAAGGACGATAGCTGAAGCCCTCGCATCGTTTTACAAGTCTTTGTATGGCGCTCCGCTGGGAGGCGCCGGGGTGACCAGACCAAGCAGTAGGATATCGGGAGCTGAAGTACAGGCAGACGTCGCATGGAGCATTTCTCGAATGAAGCGGAACGAGGCTAACGCTGAAGACGGTTTGGTGGCCGAGATGTTGAAGGAGGGCGGGAACGACATGATGAATGCCATCGCCTAGGCTGTTGCCGATATGCTCAACGGCGTATCTCGGGCCCCAGACTCATGGAGCACCTCCCAAATTGTCGTTTTCAAAAAATAGAGAAGCGAGACGACCATCCCAAATAACTATTGGCCCATCGCGATCATCCCAGTGTTGAGTAAGTTGTACAGCAACGTGATTGTCAGGCGAAATGGAAAGCATCTTGGACAGATTCCAAACGCGGGAAGAAGTTTGAAATCGCAAGGGTTATGGGTGTTGCGATTTAGTCCATTGCATGCGAATGATCAGCGAGAAAAGCATGGAATGGGGGATGACGGCTTGGGTGGCTTCTTTGACAAGATCGTAAATGCAGAACGAGTTGTGGGCCGTTCAGGATTTGTACAAGGACCAGCGGGCGTATATTCAGCTTGGCCCCAATACTCGAAGCACATACTTCACCGGCATTATCGCGAATTCAGTCATGAACGCGATGGTGCATCTGAACGGATCGTGGGTGAAGAAAGGGTGCAGGAGCATCATCGGCATCGGGAATCGGTGAAGAGCCGGATGACTAATGCCTTGATCGCTGATGACACCACGCTTGTGGCCATATCAAAGCAAGCTGTGGCACGCATGTGATTTCCTATACGCGATGAGCTCGCACAAATCGTTTTGCACATGCATGCGGACACATGCAGCCCGCAGTGCTCCAGGAAATCTGCTCCCCCAAACAAGAAGGTAAAGTTATTTGGGCAGGGGTTCCCGCTGGTCAGCTGCAACGTCGGTTCCCAAGCTTTCTGGCGCAATTGCTACCATGCATGGTGACATTTGAACGGCATGTCATTCTAGAGTTCGGTCCGGTTGGGCCAAAGTTGCAAGCTTGTCAAGAAGAAATCCAGCTCTGTAGCAACAAAGGTTGCAGTTATTCGATATGACAGCATCAAAGACAGTGCTATGGCGTTCGGAAGTGTGGAATTTGGTCGTTAAGCAAGAGAGGAAGCTTGGAAGCATACAGCGAAGCAGGCTGCGATGGATTGCAGGGCCTGGGAGACACCCAGAAGAATATTACGTTTCGTGGATCCGGAGGGCGACTCGAGTAGCTGAAGCTCAAGCGCGGCACGCTGGCGCTTGCATTTTGGGTGGAAGCGTATTTAACATCAAAGTTGAAGCGGGCAGGGAAAATCATCATTCTGCCAGATACAAGATGGGCCAAAATAGTGACTCGATGGACGGATCATGCCTGGTTGGACCAACAACCAAAGAGGACACTCGGATGCCCAATTCGCTCCCAACCCAGCCGGTTCAGCAGATGGGCAGACGAGTTGGTGTTATACGCAGGATATACCGGGTAGAACTCGTGGACACACGAGGCATCGAATGAGAGTCTTTGGCAGGGGGGTGAGCGGGATTTTCTGCAGCACGCATGGCGATGACCGCACGACTTCTCGTGCACATGTTTCGTGTTTCATTTGGGCTTGGCGCAATCACACGTCCAGTGGCCTTCTTAGAAGGCGTGCAAGCGACCAGCGCGCCTGCCCCCTTGCAGGGACGCCGGCTTCCCCGCGACGGCAGTTTCGTTCTTTCTTCCGTTCGTTCGTCATCCATGTACACGATACATGCTTTGTTATGTTTTTCCCCCCTTGGCAGGCCCGAATCAATTCATGCACATCCCCTGATTGACCCCTGGCTATGTACATGGCTTCGCCTCCGGGGGAATAGGTGACCGGCGAGCTGACGATTTCCGCCACGTTCGCTTTGGGCGCGCCCGAACCCAAAGACGGCGCCCGAGGGCCCCAGACAACCCCAAAACAGCTTCAACAGGGGCCGAAAAGAGTTCCCAAGAGGGGTCCGCCCTCCAACGATCTCATACCAAAAGCCAGTGTTATGATATCGTTAGGGGCTGCTTCAAGGGCCTTCTCGAGACCCGCTGAGCCTTCTTAGGGTTGTCCTGTGGCCCCAACGACGGCCCGGTGGGGCCGTGGACAGTCCCCAGAGTGCTCCAAGAGGGGCCCAAAAAGGTTTCCCGTGAGGGACTAAAAGAAACGGCCGCCGACGATATCATCGTACCACGATCCCCTGGTATGATATCGCGGGGGAACTTCTTGGGATCCGTGCTGGGTCCTCTTTGGCCTTCTTGGGGCCCCTTTCTGGCCCCAAAGTCGGCGCGCGGAGGGCCCTGGACAACCCGGGGAGATTTCCATTTATTTTTCAAAAAGAGCTCTCAAGATGGGCCCAAGAGGGCCCACAACGATCTCATGCCAAGAGCCTCTGGTATGGTATCGTCGGGTGCCGTTTCGAGGGTTTTCTGGCAGCTGTCCCCAAATAGTACCCCAGAGGGCCCCAGGCATCCCCAAGAGCCTTTCGAGATGGGCCCAAACGAGTTTTCAAGAGGGGCCCACAAGGACCCCCAACAATATTATACCAAAAGCCCGTGGTACGATATCGTTGGGGGTCCTCTTGAGGGCCCTCTTGTGGCCCTGTTGGGGCCTTTTGGGGTTTCCCTCTGGTCCCACAGGCGACCCAGGAGGGCCTCAGGTAACCCCAGTGGAGTTTCAGTAGCGTCAAGCTCCTTGATGTTGGAGGCCTGTTGCTTTCACCGCATCGTTTGTGCCACACGGGGTGCATATACATCATGCGAGAACTCCGCGTTGAGGACAAGGGGGGACATAAACGGCCCGAGAGGACCCAAGCATGATTTCCGTACTGCCAAAGTTGTTCGTGGCTCACGGGAAAGACCGGAGAGAAGGAGGAAGAAGAGGGAACATATGAGTAGGAGGAGAGGGGAGAAAATGGGGGAGGATAGCTCAACTAGGAGGTTTTGTGGAGGGTGACGGTCAAGACAACGCAGTGTATAAGTATCCGCTCATATTTCCTTTGCATAGCACGGCCCGCCCGCGGGGTACTTATTCATGTAGGTGATTCCGCGCGTGCATCCTTTTGCGGCTCCCTACTATCCTCTCCCCTCGTCCGTCCCCACGCGAGGGAACGGGGGAGGAGGAGGGGGAGGCGGAGGGGGGACGGTCCGAACTGGTGGCTGTATTGGGAACCCCCAGAAGGATTTGGACGGGAATGCCGGCCACTTGACCTTGTCACAAGGCAGCCTCATACCGAAGGAGAAACCCGCATGAACAGAACAATAAAAGGTCCGCGCGGATTTCTTGAGGATTGGCGGTGGGCCCCCTGGTGGCGCTTCCGGTGCCGCCCCTGGCGCGCTCCGCGCGCTAGGGAGGGGGGCCTATAGTGCCTATGAAAGGGGAATCCGCGCGGCGTTCCGAAGCTTATGTTCGTGCAGTTTTATCCTTCGATCATAGCCCAAGGGTCTGTCGATCTGCCCGCCGGGAGGACGATGGTCAGCGTTCAGGATGCGATGCCATCGGCGGCAGCACACATCGCCAGGAGCATCTCCAAGATCGGTGGCGTCCAGGACGCCGTGGTCGCAGGCAGCGTGTTCGCTGGGAAAGCCGACGAGATCGAGGTGTGTATAAACGACGTCGATGGTTGTCCAGACCCGCTGTCGTGTAGCCACCCCCAGGGGCCGAAGAAACAACGGCATACGCAGAAACTGTTGGAGGTCCGTGCGGGTCTTCGAAAGTTTATGTATATGCCGCTTTATGTTCTTCTGCAGGGAATAGTCAAACGCAGCCACCCGGGGCAGCACAATACCTCTGCGTCACTGTCACTTCATCGTTGAGCTTTTTGTTGCTGTGTGCGTGGGCGTCTGAACGTATTTGTGCGTGTGCGTTCTTAACCGCATCCAGGGAAGGTTTCAGTGTACCTCGATGTTTTGTGTGGGTGTGGAGTCTTTGCTGAGCACAGCCCGCCTTTGTACAGTGACTTCCGCCAACTGCATCCGATCGGCCCGCCTGGGTAACAAGATGTTACATGTGTGTGTGTGTGTGTGTGTGTGCTCATTGCCGCACCTCTCTGTCGCCTCGCCTTGGCGTCTATTGCTGGTGGTCCCATTTGCTCGGATCCTGGGGTCTAGAGTCAATTGCCGCAGTCGTTCCCATGTTGTGGCCTGTGCTGCCTGAGCATCCAGCCACCACATCTCCTGTGCGTCCCCCTTGTCTGCCCCCTTCTCCGCTACACACAGCTACGAGTGTTGTCGGCGCAGCCGACCGTTTCGTTGCAGCTCTCGGAGTGTCTGCGCTCTCGCGCCTCTCCCTCCTTTGTCTGCTGGTTGGTTCCTCTCCGCCGCGCCTTTTCGGCTCGCCGTTGGCCGTTCTTCGGGAAAACGTAAGACTCGAGTTCGCCAGAACTTTGGTTTGCCGGCGTCATTTTTCAAGGACCCGTCCTGGATTCTGACGGTTCGATTTCCATGGGGTGTTTGCAGCATGGGTTCTAGATGGTGTCCCGACGGTGCCCTTATGGTTGTCCCGATGGTTGTCCTGTGAGATCGATCGACAGATAGATCGATCGATAGATCGACATATACATACATCTATAATATATATATATATATATATATTCATGTACATATGCATATAGCTATTTCTATACATGTATATATATATATATATGTATATGTCGGCGGTGCCCGGTGTGGAACGACTCCCTTCCCGGTAAACTCCATCCTGGGGGGTGTCGAGCTGGCGGCACCGCCAGTGCGAGCCGGCACGGACCACCCCGGTAAGTACGAACCCCCCGGTAGCCGGCACGAACCCCCCCGGTAAGCACGAAGCCCCCTTAGTATGCACGAACCCCCCCAGTATGCACGACTTTGTGACACGACTGGTTCGACTGGACCCCAAGGGCGTTCCAAGACGCCACACCTCCACAGAGAGCCCTCCACCCCACCCGCACCCCCACCCCACCCCCCCACTCCCACCCCCTCACTCCCACGAGGGGGGAGGGGTCCAGGTCGAAGCCCCCCCCCAGAGCGGCCTGCACGAATCCCCCCCTGTAAAGGGACAGGGGGGGGGAGGTTCTGAGCCGTCGGCGGCACCCGGTGCGGCCTGCACGAAGCCCTCTGGTAGTATTGGGGGGGGTTCGTGCCACGGGGCACCGCCGACATATATATATATATATATATATTTACATATACACGCACATACATACATACATACATACATACATACATACATACAGACAGACAGACAGACAGACAGACAGACAGACAGACAGACATACATACATACATACATACATACATACATACATACATACATACACACACACATACATACATACATACATACGTACGTACGTACGTACGTACGTACGTACGTACATACATACATACATACATATGTGTATATATATACATTGCCCCGGCAACCGGGGTTCCCAGTTCGAGCTGGCGCCGAAGACGCTATTTGAAGACGCTATTCCCTGTGATGACGCGTCCCTGTGAAGATTCTATTCCTTGTGAAGACGCTATTCCGGGTGAAGACGGTGAAGACGCTATTTCCAGTGAAGACGCTATTCCGGGTGAAGACGCTATTCCCGGTGAAGACGCTATTCCCGGTGAAGACGCTATTCCCTGTGAAGACGCGTTCTGCGGACGCAGACAGCACTTCCCTATGAAGACGCTATATTCCTTGTGAAAACGCTTTTCCCAGTGAAGACGCCATTCCCAGTGAAGACGCTATTCCGGGTGAAGACGCTATTTCTTGTGAAGACGCTATTCTGGGTGAAGACGCTATTCCCGTTGAAAACGCTATTCCGGGTGAAGAGTGGGGGCCAGGGTCGCCGTGGAAGCTGCGCCCACCCACCCAATCCTCCTCCTCCTCCTCCTCCTCCTCCTCCCCTCCTCCTCCTCCTCCTCCTCCTCCTCCTCCTCCTCCTCCTCCTCCTCCTCCTCCTCCTCCTCCTCCTCCTTCCCTCTCTCTCAATGCCGATGGCCGAAGGCGACATTTTTGCCCCCGTGCCCAAACTGGGGATTTCGCTTTCTCTCGTCCGTTCTTCTCGTTCGAATTTCATTTCGTCGTCGTCGTCGTCCTCCTCCTCCTCTTCCTCCTCCTCGATTCGTCCGCTTCGATTCGCCCGGTTCGAAACGGAAGGCGGACGAAACGAAAGGCGGGCGAGACGAAAAGGCGAGCGAACCGAGAGAGGACGTCACGCAGGAGGACCGAAAGAAGACGCCTCCAGAGAGGACCAACGGCAGCGGACGATTCGAAAGCCCACCCCACTGGGGGGCGCCACGCGACCGCGGAGCCAGAGGGGGGATCCGGCGGCGGCGGCACGGGCGTGGTGCTCGTGGTGCTCGCCTGGGCGCTGCTGGCGGCCTGCGCCGTGGGGTCCCTGGTGGCGGGGGGGGCCCTGCTCGTGCCGAAGCTCCGGGCGATGAGGAGCCTTCTAGCCCATTCGAGGCGGATCGAGCTTCGGGGATCGAGGATCGAGCTTCGAGGATCGAGGATCGAGGGTTCGATGTCTGTCGATTGCGATACCGCTTCGATTCGACTTCGAATTCCGATGCTGATCTCGGTTTCTCTGTGGAGGCCTTACCAGCCTGCCGATTTCCGCCGGTTCGGTTTCTCCCGACCTGGCAGTGGAATTTGTGCCTTCCAAATGGGGTCAGAGTAAATGGTGTCGGAGGATCGCTCCGCATCGCATATGCATGGACGATGCGGCTCGATGTGGAGTCTGATTTTCTTCACGCCGATGGCGCCGATGCATCGCCGACGTTGCCGGTGCAGCGCAAATGCGTCGGCGATGCATTGGTGATTCGTTGGCGATGCGGCCCCATCTGCTCGGACGGCCGCCTCCCAGCCCCCGGCGCCACCTCCCAGCTCCTCGCACGGCCGCCCAGCTGGGCCAACTGGGGGACGCCTCGCCTCGCCATCTGCTCGAGCCTCATCCAGGTGGCCTCGTACTCCAGGAGGCCCCACGTCGACACGGCCGGAGATCCGCCTCGAAGTCTGGGGTCGGGACGCGCCCCTGGACTCGTCCGGGGGGCCAGCTTTTTGGATCCCCGCGCCCACGGATGGTCGTCCTTTGTCTTCGTCCTGTGGCGTCGTCCGCGTCTCCGTCCTCGCCTTCGTCCTCTCGGTCCTCGTGTCGTCCTCGTCCCTTGGCATCGCTCGGACGTGTGCAGTTTCTTTCGACGAGGACCATCGATGAGCATCTTGGATCAATGCACGGGGAATGGACGTCCGAGCGATGGCGAGGTCCCGTCCTCACCCTCGGCCTCGTGCCTGTGCTCGTGCCATCCCCATTTTCATTTTCGTCGTCGGCCTCGCCCTCATCTTCGTCCCCGCACCGTTGGTAGGAGTAGGAAGAGGAGGAGGAGGAGGAGGAGGAGGAGGAGGAGGAGGAGGAGGAGGAGGAGGAGCGATGAATCGCCTTATTCCTTCAAGGGGGAGGGGGAAGCTGATGGTGTTGTTAATGTTGTTGATGATGCTGCTGCTGATGATGATGACGATGATGACGATGTTGACGCTGTTGTCATTGTTGTTGTTGTGGTTGCTGCTGCTGAACTATCATTACTGAAGACTGATTATTGTTGATCCCCCCTCCGGTGACCAGCGTGTTTTTTCAATTGAAGTGCTTCCCCCGGGGCTCGCACCCTGTTATCAGGGGAAGTCACTATAGGATCAAACTGCGCCCCCAGCCCCTGGGTTACAACAACAACGGCTCTTCCTCACAATTTAACCAGGACCCCCGCTCCCGCCTCAGATTTCCTCGCGTTTTACTCAGGAATCGCGCTCACGCTTGGGACGTCCTTACAATTTTTTCAGGAATAGCTCTCTCGGCGCCCTGGAGTCGCGCTATCGCTGGAGACTTGCTTTCAAATGACTTAAGAATCGCGCTCTTGCGTTGGAATCCCCCGCAATTCACTCAAGCGCCGCGCTCCCGACACTCAGGCACCCAAGAGTCGCGCTCACGCTTAGGACTCCCTTACATCATATTTAGGAATGGGGATCTCGCTGCCCTTCGTGGCCCCGTTGCAGCTCTTGGTGGCCCCCTCGCTGCCCTTCGTGGCCCCGTTGCAGCCCTTCGTGGCCCCCTCGCTGCCCTTCGTGGCCCCGTTGCAGCCCTTCGTGGCCCCCTCGCTGCCCTCCATTGCCCCGTTGCAGCCCTTCGTGGCCCCCTCGAGGCCCTTCGTGGCCCCACATGCCCTTCGTGGCCCCCGTTCGTTCGGGCCCGTCGTGGCCCCATATGCATGCGCTTCGTGGCCCCGCTTTCGTCCTTCGTGGCCCCCGTCGCTACCCTCAGCGGCCCCGTCGCTGCCCTCAGTGGCCCCGTCCTTGCTCTCTGCGGTCCAATATACGCATGCCCTTCGTGGCCCCCGCCCGTTCGCGCCCGTCGTGGTCCCATGTGCATGCCCTTCGTGGCCCCGCTGTCGCCCTTTGTGGCCCCCTCGCTGTCCTACGTGGCCCCGTTGCTACCCTCAGTGGCCCCGTCGCTGCCCTCTGTGGCCCCGCATTATCTGCCCTTGGTGGCCCCGGCTCGTTCGCGCCCTTCATGGCCCCATACGCATTCCCTTCGTAGCCACGCTGTCGCCCTTCGTGGCCCCCTTCCTGCCCTTCGTCGCCCCGCTGCCTCTTTCGCGCTCGCTCTCGCTTTCGCTCGTCGTCGTCGTCGTCATCGTCGTCGTCGTCGCCGTCGTCGTCGCCGTCGTCGTCGTCGTCGTCGTCGTCGTCGTGGTTGGTCCCCTGTCCGTCCATGTTGGGGTCGTGTTGCCGCCGATCAGCGCTGCCGCTGGCTAGGCCGACGCGGACCCCGCCCCGGCGCTTGCCGGGGCCTGGCCTGCATGGAAGAAAGATATACCCCCCCAAAGGGGTACGATCGAACACGAATAGGGCGGGTACCGAGGGTTTGTGATATACAAGTTGAATAACATTCGAGCAGATAAGAGCGATCAGTCTGATAATGATTGTTTGTGTTGCTGTTGGTGTCCTTGTCATAGTTGTTGTTGCTGCTGCTGGTGTTGTTGCTGTTGCTGCTGTTGTTGCTGTTGTTGGTGGTATGCTTGCAGTTGTTGATAGGTTGTCTTTGCTGGTGCTGCTGGTGTTGCTGTTATTGTCGTTGCTGCTGATGCTATCTATGTTGCTGTTGCAGTTGTTGTTGTTGTTGTTGTTGTTGTTGTTGTTGTTGTTGTTGTTGTTGTTGTTGTTGTTGTTGTTGTTGTTGTTGTTGTTGTTGTTGCTTGTGGCGTTGCTGTTGCTGTTGCTGTTGCTGCTGTTGTTGTCGTCGTCGTCGTCGTCGTCGTCGTTGTTGTTGTTGTTGTTGTTGTTGTTGTTGTTGTTGTTGTTGTTGTTGTTGTTGTTGTTGTTGTGGTTGGTTGGTTGGTTGGTTGGTTGTTGTTGTTGTTGTTGTTGAAAAAACAGATTTAACACATGCTGTGGAGACCCATACCAAGAAACACCCTGCTTGCCTCCAGGGCCCCCCTGGGTTTATTGGGTGCCGATGGTTTTGTCATGTTAAGCGCGACGTACCCACACTAAAATTCCATGGACGTCCTGGAGTCTCAGGGTTGGGTTTCTTGTGGCAGGTTTCTTCTGACCGAGGCCATTTTTTGCAATTATTGCTGATTCCCACTGCCCGTGTCATTATCTTTTTTCAGTTGTACACCTCTTCTCCCGCGGCTCGTACCCTGTTTTTTTTCAAGGGGAACTGAGGTGTGACGTAAGTGGGTGGGCCCCTGGCCGCTAGTTTACATTAGCAGCGGCTCCCGCTGGATAGTTCCTCAGCGCTCTTGCGCGGGATTTCCCAACAGTTCATTCAGGAATCAAGGTCTCGCGTGGGACTTCCTCTCAATTTATTCAGACGCCGCGCCTTCGACACTCAGGAATCACACTCTCGCTGTGGATTTCCGCACGATATATTTTGGAATCGCGCTATCGCTTTGGTCTTCGCGATTTATGCAGGACGCACGCTTCAGCAACCCTCCTGCCCGATGTCCCTTCCTTCCATCCGTCCTCTCTACTCCCCTGCCTTAGGGGTCCACGAAATACACGTTGCAGGTAAGAAGGATCTACATCTAAGGGGTACGATCGAAGATGAAGAGGGAGGGTATCGAGTGTTTGGGATATACGTGGCACATGGCACCCGAGCAGATACAAGCGAACCGTCTTAAAATGGTTGTTCTTGAGTTCTGATTTCTAAATCATATTTACGGTTGATTCCCCCTGCCCAGTAACCATTTTGCATGTTTCAAGTTTAAAGACTTTCCCAGGGCTCGCACCCTGTTTTGTATAAGGTGAAATGAGGTGTCTCCTAACTCGGCTAGCCCCCGGTTTACAACAACAGCAACAACACCAACAGCAACAACGGCCCCGCCTGATACGTCCTCACAATGTATTCTCAAATTGCGCTCTCGCGCGGGACTGCTTCACAATGTATAGAAATCGTGCTCTGGCGTGGGACTGCCTCGCAGTGTATGCAGACGCCGCGCCCTCGACACTCAGGAATCACGCTCTCGCTGTGGGTTTCCTCACGGTTTATCTGGGAATCGTGCTATCGCTGGAGTCTTCCTCGCGATTCATGCAGGACGCATGCTTCAGCAACCCGCCTGCCCGTTGACCCTTCCTTCCTCCCGCCCTTTCTTCCCATGCCTTAGGGTCTGCACGAAGTGCACGCTGCACGTAAGAAGGATATACCCGTAAGGGGGTACGATCGGATATTCCCCTAGTATGGGTACGATCGAAGATGAACAGGGCGGGTATCTAGGTTTGGAGACATACGTGGTGAATGGCACGCGGGCAGAAAAAGAGCAACATCTTAAAATTACCCCAGTGCGACCCTACCTAAAAGTTGGAGCCCCTAGGAAAGCAGCATTAGTTGCCATGCTAATGCTATGCTATACTATGCTATGCTATATCATGCTATGCTGCGCTATGCTATGCTATGCTATGCCATGCCATGCCATGCTATGCTATGATATGCTATGCTATGCTATGCTATGCTGCGATGTGCTATACTACGCTATGCTATGCTATGCTGTGCAATGCAAAGCTATGCTGCGCTGTGCTATGCTGTGCTGTGCTGTGCTGCGCTATGCTATGCGATGCTATGCTATGCTATGCTAATGCTATGCTATGCTATGCTGTGCTGCGCTATGCTATGCTATGCTGGGCTATGCTATGATATGATATGCTGCGCTATGATATGCTACGCTATGTTATGCTATGCTGTGATCTGCCATGCTAAAGCTCATCGAAGCTAAGATGACGGTAAACTAAGCTAAGACAAACCTGAGCTAAGAGGAAGCCAAGCTAAGCTGAGATGAAGTAAACTAAGCTAAGATGAGACAAGAAATGCTAAGCTAAGGGAACGTAACTGTGGTTAGTGGTTTTCATTGACGCGCACAAATCCCAGATCATTCACGCGGAACGTTTATCCCACGAAATGGGATTGTTGTCTCCGCACAAAGTTTTAAGGCTTCTGCGGGCCCGCCCGGGGATATTTGAACACGGGGGGGGTGTTAACAAATCGTCCCCCCCCTGGGCTCCCAGAGACTCTGCGGGAGGTCTGGACCAAACGGTTACCGACCCAGAGACTCTGCGGGAGGTCTGGACCAAACTGTTACCCACCAGAGGATTCATTAACTTCAGTTTTTTCTTCCCGTGGTGTCGTTTTGTTGCGCCCCCGGGGGCGGACAGATCGTGCCGCCCCTCCAAGACGCACGACGCAGAATGAGCTAACTTACGCATTTTGCGCAACGAATGAAGCACTGTAGAGTTAGCGTCTTTGGAAGTGAGCGTGCCGACACCTCTCTTCATAGGCTAAGTGTGGCGACACCTCAGCTGTACATTACATCCTTGACCATTTTGGCTCAAGGCTTGAGCGGACTTACTTGTAGTAGTTCACGTGCCTGAAAAACGAAAGTCTGAGACCGCGATCCCACGCTTCGAGAAGCGATTGTGTACGACTATCGATTCGCTTATTCGTGACAAGCTGCATCTGCCCTACAAGAGAGGCAAGCCATACCCTATACCAGCGAACATCGCCATCAAACATTTAGAAGCAGTTGCCGTGGAGACCTGGGCTGAGGGTGCTGACTTAGATCTTCCAGATTAGGTCCAATGAAGGGGTCCACACAGCCTTCGACATCTCTGACTCAAACCACAGTAACAGTGGGAGATGCGGGGCGGATCCTGGGGGGAACCGCCCGGGGCGATTTCCACTGCCCGGCCCCTTTAAGCTAAGAGGGTAAGAACCCTTCTAGGCAGAGCCTAGGTAGGGAATGATTGGTAATGTTGTTGTTGGTGTTGTTGAAGTTGTTGTTATTGAATTTTCATTTCTGCAGAATAGTTAGTGTTAATCCCCCCAGGTGGTAACCATTGTATTTTTCAATTGCACTGCTCCTTCCAGCACTCGCACTTTGTTTCGTTACAATGGAAGGGGGGGTGTCACCAAACTGGGCCTCGGCCCCCAGTTTACAACAGCAGCGGCTTCCGCTTGATATTTCCTTACATTTGATTTCAACATCGGGCTCTCGCGCCGGACGCCCCGACAATTTGTACAGGAATCGCGCTCTCGCGTGGGACTTTCTCAATAAATTCAGACGCCGCGCCCTCGACATTCAGGAATCACGCGATCGCTGTGGATTTCCGCACGATTTATTCGGGAATCGCGCTAGCGCTGACAACTTCCGCGCGATTCATGTAGGGCGCATGCTTCAGCAACCTGCCTGCTCGACCTGGCCGCCTGGGCTCGCCTTCACGACTCGTTTTTTAAGGTTTACCCGCCCGATCTGCCCGTCTGGTTTTGCCACGTGTTTTTTGCTCCTAGCCCTGCTCCTGCTATTGCTCCATCCTCCTCCCTCCCCCCTCGTCCCTTCCTTTCAGCCGTCTTCCTCCTCTGCCATAGGGGCTGCACGGCATGAACGCTGCTGGTAAGAAAGTTATACCCGGAGGGGGTACGATCGAAGACGAAGAGGGTGGCCATCGAGTGTTGGGGATATTCGTGT